ATTTCTTAATGTATCTCCCACTACTAAAAAAAATCTCAGCACGATAACTCATCATCATGTTGAGATGTGGTAGTGACAAGTTCAAAAATTCATTTTCTTCGATGAGTCAATGATAAAAAACGAGATTTTTGAAGAAACCGAAGAAGGAAAATGAAATAGACGAATAGAATTTGATTCTCTATTCACTTTTGGTTGTATTTGAAGAAAACAGATTTACAGACAAAGTGTAGATTCAATTTAAAACGATGGTAGAGGGGATAAGGAACATACTTTTTAAAAACCAAAACGAGTAAAAGATAGAGCGTGAAAAATGCTACAAAACTGTCTAAAAATAGTTCCAGTAAACTTCTTTTATTCAGGGCAGACGACCAAAAAGCTTTAATTACGCACTAACGGTAGACCTAGTTTTTTTGCGAAGTCGATTTCTAATTATATATTTTCACGCTGATTTTGATGGAAAGGATTACTATTATATACCGTTTGACTTATGAACACATGCTGCGTTTAGTTAATTTCATTTTGAACAGCTTGGAAGTTATTTCTGACAGATCATCAGGTTTTGAGGTTTAAGTCTAAATTAATCCGTTTTTTTCACTATACGCAGACGTAAGGCATTCTTAGAAAGTTTCCAAAGCCGTAGCTCTCTAGATGGAATCTACAACAAGAAAACACATTGTTTATGACAGATCCATACATGGGTTTAAAATTAGTTTCCTTCATTTGTCAATCTTCTAGAATTAAAATTATATATATAACTAATCAAAAATTGAATAGCTACTTTTATTATAATTAAATAATGAGAATTTTAATTGAATTGTTCAAAGCAAAAATAACTTAGGCCCTTAGATATATGAATCAATTATTAATTTATAAGATCTGTGAATAAAAGTTGAAAAGTTCTTAGATCTTTTATCTTCCAAATATTGTTCTAATCGTATAGAAAAGTACTTGAAACTATGAAAAACCATTTTTTATATATAACATATTGTTAACTATTTTAAGTATTCATTTCATTTGAAAAAGTAAAAGATTAAAATACTACTTTTAGTATTTACATAAACTCTGTTACTTTATCACGGAAAATATATTCTACATTCAAATTTCATTAATATCTATCTTCATATCTAGAAAAACTCGTCAGAAAAAGATGGGCGATAACACAAGTTAATTATAGACAAGTAATCCTTCAGAATTAAGTATGCGTTTTCTATGATAGACAACTTAATCAAAAGCTAAAAGTCATGACTATAAATGAATAGAAAATTTTCATAGTACTCGATGATTCCATTCGAAGCATCTTCAGTTAAAAAATAGATTAGAACTTATTTAAATATATTATATGTATAAGAAAATAGAAATAATATACTAATTATGTATATTTAATTTATCATTCAAAAATAGATAAATGATATATCGGAGACTATCATAAAAGTATCTTTAATAATAGATGCAAGATTGAAAATTCTCTAAAATATCTTCATCTGTAGATTGCATATTCAAACTGTATAGGGATCATCCATAAAGGGCGTTCAGGTAAAAATTGTAATTCTGAGGTATCCGTCACAAATGTCCTTTGCCATATAGTCCTATGAAAAAATGTCCTTTCAATAAAAGACAAAGGACCAATTGATGAAAAATATTAATCGTCTATTTTTGAAGGTGTATGGGTCTGAGTGTGGGTGTCTACTGAGAAAGTAGATACCCACATCCGCACCCATTCGCCCACACAAGGGTGAGGCGACCGGGGGTGTGACCCCCCTCCCTCACCAATCTTCGAAAATTTCTATTTTTTGCTCAACAAAATCGGCAAATCCTCTTAGGTTTTTCATCAAAGATAATGCTATAGCCCGCCAAAAATTCAAAAAACTTCGTTGCACCTCTCCAATGTTGGCTGACTCGTGCCATCCCTGCGCCACACCCACTCCAATCCCATAAATCATTATCGAAATTCGTTAAACTACAGTGTAATCCATGTTTTAGACTTACTTCATTTGAAACTTCCCTAGCTAAGAGTAAAGAACATTTTTATAAGGCAGACTAATTTAAAGAAGATATTTGAGTCTGAGGACGTTTTCTAAAAGACAAAATTTAAAAGGACCAAATTTTAAGGACATTCTCTAAAAGACATTTTTGATCCTGGCCTTCCCGTTGCCTCTGCCCCCTATACCTGGCCGTCCTTTATCGATGGTCCCATAGATAAATACTTCATTGTTTACATCAAAGCATAATTACTATTTTTATCGTTGGAATATTATCTCCTAGCATATATCAATAAAAATCTATGTTTAATTAAAATAACTTTTCAGTAGAAAAAAGTCTAACGTGTAATATTTAATTTTTTTTGTTTAGTATAATTGTTCAACAACAGAAGTTTTATCAGAATTTCATTCATTAACTCAATCATTTCTTTCCAGTCGTAATACAAGAGTAACTGACAGTATAAGTAATATATTAACAAATATATATGATGATAATTATTATTTAACAAATACTTCTGTTTTAACTCAACATCTTGTACAAGCTAGAACACCTGATTTAATAATCAAATTATTTGAAAAACGTTCCTGTCATATAACAATGGCATATTCAATTTGTTTAAAATTATTTGATTTTCTCCATTCAATATCATTTGGTTTGAATCGTCATACATTAGCAATATTTCTTGGTAATGCCTTACCATCATTTATTGTTTTTCTTGCCAATGTTTTATCATTAAAAGTGATTTATTTTTCCAAAAGTTTAAAATATTTAAAACAAAAATCACAAAAAAATCGTCGTAAACGTCGTATACAAAATGATTTACGTGCATTTCTTGTTATATTAATTGAAAGTTTTTCTGTTATTACAATATCATGGGGTATACCAATACTATTAACAATGTATTATTGTCAAACATTATATGTTGTTGCAATAACAGAATGTCCTGAAATAAAAAAATCCTTAGTTTATTTTCTTTTTCCTGATTTATTTAATTCATCAACAAATTGTTTATTATATTCATTATCAGGAAAATTATTTCGACGAAAATTTATTTCACTTATTAAAGGAATATTTACATGTGGTCGAGGGGTTTTATGGAATGTTAAACAAAGTTCATTGATGTTACCATTGGGAAATATTGAATTACAACCATCAAATGATCCATCAACTGTTGTACATAATGGTATTTATTCACGAGTTGATACTTATCGACATTCCGAATTATTTTCATCAATACAAATAAATAAATTAAAAAAATTAACAAAAAATAAAAAAATCGTAGAAGATGATGCATCATCATGTGTAGTTCGAATTAGTGATGAACGTAATGGTAGTAATGAAACTGAATTAGAATTTATTAAAAAAATTCGAATATCAAATAAAAAATTGAAACGACCTCAAAAATTTAAAACATTCTTAATTGATAAAGTACAATTTTTGAGTTCAACAGAATCAAGAAAAGAAAAAAATAAATTAAAAACAAGTGTTCAACAAAAACGACAATTAAAAACAACTTTATCATTATCATCATCAACTGGTACGGCAACCAGTAATGAAAATAGTCTTTTAAGACAACAATTAAATAATCAACAGCATGCACTCAAAATTGTTTTACTCAATACAGATGATAATCAAACAATAAATAAAGAATGTGTTCTTCAAAATGTAACGACTTTGTGAATATATTTTTGTTATAAATTTTTTTTGTCTTATTTATTTGGTTGTTTTGTACAGAGTAAAGAAATATAAATATATTATAGAAATTAAAATTTGTACATTTGTGGTAGTTAAACATAAGATTCAATTGTATGTGAATGAAAACTTTTAATAC